TTCCCCCCCCCCCCTCCCCCTTGCCCCCCCCCCCCCCCCCCCCCCCGTTCCCCCATGGTCAACACCCCCTCCTCAATCAGGCCTGCACTACATGAAGTACGTCGTGGCCGTGGCCGCGGTTCTAGGCTCCTTCACGGGCCTCCTGGTGGGTCTGTACACCGCCTCGCGCATCGCCATGGTGGTGGCGCGCGACTGGATGCTGCCGCCCTGGCTGGCCAAGATCTCCACGCGCACCAACACGCCGGCGCGCGCCCAGATCGGTCGTGGGCGTGGTTGTGGGTGGGTGCTGGCGGGGGTTTGGGGGGGGGGGGGGGGGGGCGGTCTCGTGTGTGCCTGTTGTGGGGCTGGGGCTGGGGCATGGCGAGCAGGGGGGTGCGGCTGCCTGCTGCTGGGATCGCCGCTCTGGCGTGGCGAATTTTGCCTGACGCTGGCAAGTCCACCATCCCAAGGCTCCACCACCCCCTCCCACCTTGGAAACCGCAGCCCTCATCGCCGCCTTCTCCTCCGGCCATTTCCTGGCGGACCTGGTCAGCTTTGGCCAGCTGCTGAGCATCTGGTTTGTGGTGAACGCGCAGCTGTACAGGCGGTACTACCCGGGCGTCAAGCTGCGGTTCACACGGTGGGCACAGGGTGGAGCGATCTGAAAAGGCAGGGGAGGTGTTTCAGAGCTTGCGCAGGGATCATGCAGTGCGTGGGTGACTGGGAGTCAGGTCTCAATGTTTCTGTCAGATGGGAATGAGGCGTGACCAAGAGCAATGCAGCCTGCCATCCACGCCTGTGGCCCTCTCCAACGGCTCCGCCCACCCTGCTCCCCTTTCCATCACATCAGGCACGGCACGGTGGAGACCAATACAGCCCCCTCCCACGCCTGGGTTCCCGGCAGCCGCCTCGATCTGTCCCTGGTCACCCGCCAGATCCTGACGGGGGTGCACATGGTGCTCATCACCCTCGGTGCCACGGGTGCGCAGGGTTGGAGGAAGGAGTGAAACCCCAGCCTCGGTGGGGCCTGCCAGGGGTGCCTCGACACGCACTGGCGGCGGGGGGTCCGCACTCCGAACACCCAAGACCTGCTCACCCCTCTGCGCACATGCAGGTCTGGCAACCTGGTTCAGGACCACCACCGGGTCAGACCGGACGCTGCGCGTCGCCGGCTGCTCGGCTTTCTTCCTGCTCTACTTTTTGGCGGCGCTCTCCATGCGCCTGCTCTGCCCACTGCAGTATGAGCCTCAGCGCTGGCACGTCCCCGCTTTCCTCATGCCCTGGCTCCCCGCCACCGCCATTGGAATGGTCCTTTTTGGGTGA